ATTCGGCTTAATTTCAAATAATACATGCAGTTGTGTGGTTAGTTCACCGACATATGTTTAAAGTAAAGCACAATTTGGCGAGGTTAGTACTTGCACGGGAGACTCCCTGAGTAAACGAGCTGTTGAATTAATTTTAAATTTGTTGTTTCATCACACACATGTAAAAGATATATGACAACGTTTCTGCATTTTTTCTTATTGTGATGTCAATCATTTATAGTGGAAAATCGTGTAATCTTTTGTAACTATTTTAATTATTTAAAAGTTTTCATATTCCTTCTAATTTTTACGAACAAGTTGCTGATGCTGTCGGCACGTAGTCGGTTTTAAGCTATTAGCACACCGTGCAAAGGTGTTCAAAGTCGTTCCAAAGCAGCTAGATATATTTGTATATATGACCTAAGTTGTTAGCATAAAGAAACGCGCAGTTGTAAAGTTGACACATTTGATATAAGTCAGTTGAAAGCAGCCTATAGATGTTCACATGAGCTGACTGTAAAATGTTAGAAAACAGCGTGCAATGTTAGAAAAAACCAAGGAAATGTTGGCGGAGTTGCTTGTATATTTAACCTAAGTCATTGTCATGTCAACCCCGCAGTTAAATTTCGAAAACATTGAGTAAATTTATCGAGAATGCCCCAATATATAAGCAGAATATCACAACAGCCAACCGAAAAATCGACAATAAATTACTTTCAAAGTTGTGAAAAGCGATTGCAAAGTTGGTAGTTTCTTTTGGGATTGTTACCCGGGATATCATATTAACAGGTTTCATAGTTAAAAGTTCGAAAATGTGAATACATCTTTTAAATTGATGTTAAATTATCGTAGTGTTACTCCAAGTATGTAGAGGCCATGGGTCAATCCTAAAAGGTACCTGTGCCAGCGATATCGATTTTAAAACATCCAAAAACATGAAATAGCCGCCAATTCGGCTTAATTTCAAATAATACATGCAGTTGTGTTGTTAGGTGACCGACAAATGTTTAAAGTAAAGCACCATCGGGCGTGATTAGTACTTGCATGGAAGACTCCCTGAGTAAACAAGCTGTTTAATTTATTTTTCTTTTGTTTCATCACACACATAGAAAAGATATACAGCAACATTTCTGCATTTTTTCCTGCTGTGATGTCAATCATTTATAGCCGAAAATCGTGTCATGTTTGTAACTTTTTTAACTAATGGCAAGTTTCAAAATTTCTTGTAATTTTCAAGTACAAGTTGTTGATGCTGTCGGCACGTAGTGGGTTTCAAGTTGTTAACACACCGTGCAGAGTTATTGCAAAATTGGTAGATGTATTTGTATAAATGACCTAAGTATGAGAATGTAAGGTACAAAGTTGTGGAAAATTGGTGCAAAACGTTGAACTAGAGTGCAACGTAGCAGGAAAATGGTGCAAAGTGTGAAACTAGAGTAGTGGAAATGTGCTGCAAAATGCGAAACAAGAGTGTAAAGTAGTGGAAAATGCGAATGTAGTTTGCAAAGCAGAGGAATAGTGGTGCAAGATGTGAAACTATAACAAAAAGTAGTGAAATACTGGTGCAGAATGTGAAACTGTGGTGCAAAGTAGTAGAAATGAGGTGCAAAATAGTTGAAAAATGGTGCAAAATGTGAATATCCGGCATAAAATTGTAGAAAAGCAGTGCAAAGTGTGGAACTAGAGTGCAAAGTAGTGGAAAGATGGTGCAAAATGCGAATATCCGGCGC